CTAGTGGGCCCTTCCCCAGCCTGGGCACCCTGCCCGGCCCAGCCCTCCTGGGAGGCCCTAGTTCCCTCTTAGTAGGCTGACCTTTGTGCAGATCCAAGTGCTTTAAAATTAGAACACATGTTTTAGGGTAGGGTCTCTAATTCTGGAAACTGAGGACTCCTGGGAGGTTCTAAAGGAAAGCCTCTCCACTCTGCCTCTCTCACACACATACATTTATACTATGGGATGCTCAGATACAACAGGTAAGAGAATGATCTTGCACCTTTGGTCCACTGGTTTGTTGGGAGACAGTACAGAACCTGAGGTACACCTCTAGAATAAAGTTTTGTGGCTGTTTGGAGCAAGTTCTTGACTTGTACCCTTTAAAAACTTATTATGCACCTCTACCCCATCCACACTTTCTCTCTCCTTCATGACTGTAGAAGGAAAGAGACTGAGCGGAATTTTCCAACCATGATGGGGGTTGGGGAAGAGGTGTTGGCCAGGGATAGTTACACCCAGCACCACCAGGTTCTAAGGTGCCCGTGACATAGAGGGTGGAGTGTTTGGCACATAAAGAGCTTGCCCAGCTCCTTCAAGGTGCCTTTGCCTTCCTCCTCTGCCCTTTCTCAGCTCAGGTTTTTCACTGAGTTTTCAGGTAGACTTCATGCCACCTTCTGGAGATTGCCCTGCTAGCTCTTGTCTCACTCCTTGAGTCCTGTCTACTCCCAAGCAACCCTGGAAAGCCCACTGATCTTAGCAATGAGCAGCTAGGCAGGCCTCAATGGAGGTGATCACCTGACCAAAGTCACCCCTTAACAACAACCCACCCTGTTCTGCAGGAATGACACCAAGGAGGATGTCTTTGTTCACCAGGTAAGAACTAGGTTGACTTTCTGAGGGGAAAACCCGCCCCCCCCACGCACACCCCCACTTCTCTTTGAAGGTCTCTGCCATAATCCTTAGCACAGATAATGTTTCTCCAGCTTTTGCCTCACAACAGCATGCCCACCAGGAAATCATTCTCTTCCCCAGCTGCCTCAGGTACTGAGTGCAGTATTAACTGCCATTGGCCCCACTTGGGTTCTCTCTCTAAGAAGAGTATGTTTTGCCCCACTGGGTGTGGCAGGCTCACTACCTACTAGGACCTGTTAACACCACAAGAATGGATCGTGGGCAATGTTCGGAGATGATACAGGCTAGAGATACTTGGGTGTGGTGGTTCTCAAAGTGTGGTCCCTGCACCAGCAGCATCACCTGACATCCAAATTCTCAGCCCTACCCCAAAACCCCAATCAGACTTGGGGAAGGGCCCAGCAATCCAACAAGCTCTCCAGGTGATTCTGATGCTCACCGCCGTTTGAGAACCACTGCTTTGGTGGAAAGCTCTCAGTGAGTTGAGGTAAGAAGCACAGGACATTTTACCCACTTTGCAACTTAAGTCTGTCTCTTTCTGTTTTGCGTTTAAGCTCATGTTGCTTGCTTCCCTTAAAAAAAAAATCCCTGCTGGGGGGGGAGGGGATACACTGCAATGTCGGTTCTGAGGCCCCTAGCTCATGGCTTTTCCCCTACTACACTTTGACTATCTCCTCTTTGCTCCACTCTTGAGCCCCAGCCCGCAAGTAAAAAATGTTGGAGAAAATGAGATTGGGTGGTGGACCCAGGCGGGTGAGAGATTCCCCTCTTGCCATCCTGACCCTTCTGGCCTTTCCCCTAACCAGACAGCTATTAAAAGAAACAACCCCAGGAAGTTTCTGCGCAGCGTTGGAGATGGGGAGACTGTGGAGTTTGATGTCGTGGAAGGAGAGAAGGTTAGGGGGCTATGGGAGGGATAATAGGGTCAACTAAGGTTGTGGGAGGCTTTGGTCCTTCTGAGGCCAACTCTCCGTCTGGCCAGTTAGCCCAGGCTGCCGGGGTGGCGTGGGACTGGGTTCTCACCCAGCCATTGTCTGCTTTAACAGCCTGGCTGCTCTAAAGGCTATCTTATAGCTGTCCCTGTCACCAGTCAGTAATATCTGGGTGTGTCTAGTTCACCAAGCACTTCATATGTCTGTTCTTGACATGGGACCTCATCCCTGGACACTGAGTCAGCCCTCTGTAGTAAGAGGAGAGTTGCTGCCAGAGAGCTCCATCCCCACCCCCAACTACCAGTCTCGAGGGACCAGTAACAGCTATTCAAAAGAACAAGTTTCGGAGGTGGCCCCTCGTGGGTCTAAACTGGAGTCTGTTCCCACCCTCCCTGGGGGGAATGGAAGGGAAACTGAGAAGGGAGATTAGCTGGCACAATAATGATCCCAGTCAGTTTGGAAATGTGCCTCAGTTACTGGAGTGAGTTCTCATTATTTCCTCCCCACCTCCACCCTAGGGTGCAGAAGCTGCTAATGTCACTGGGCCTGGGGGGGTGCCAGTGAAGGGCAGCCGCTATGCCCCCAATAGACGTAGGTTCCGCCGATTCATCCCCCGGCCTCGCCCAGCTGCCCCACCACCTATGGTGGCAGAGGCTCCCTCAGGCGGGACAGAACCAGGCAGTGAAGGGGAGCGAGCTGAAGACTCTGGGCAGCGGCCCAGAAGACGGCGCCCACCTCCCTTCTTCTATCGAAGGCGCTTTGTGCGAGGCCCACGGCCACCCAACCAGCAACAGCCTATAGAGGTGAGGGGGGCTGGGAATGTGGGAACCAGCTCCCCAAGTCCAGGGAAGAGAGTGGGACTTAGTGAGTGGGGGAAACAGACTTGGGGGGACTGATGCTGGGAAGAGCTATGGACAGTGGTTCCTGGGCAGCAGACATTCCCCACTCTACCCAGGCCTTTGCATGTTTCCAGGGCACTGACGGGGTAGAACCCAAAGAGACCGCCCCATTGGAGGGGGACCAACAGCAGGGAGATGAGCGGGTCCCCCCACCCAGATTCCGGCCCAGGTACCGAAGGTAAGAGTCTCTCTTCCTCATCAGTAAGGGTAGGAGACAGGGTGGGAAGGGGAAGAATCCTGAGTCTGCTTCTCCTGGGAATTTGTGGGTTTACTGCTTAAGTGCCCCCTGTGGGCAGCAGTCACTTCTGGGGGTGACTGCACTGGGAGTAGGTAAGAGCTGGCTGTTTCCTTCTCAGCCTGATTTAGGGGCAGGAGTTGGTGGCTCTAAACAATAAGGATGGATCCCTTCCTTTAACCCTTGGGAGGGGAGAGAAGGAAAAAAGCAAAAGGCTGTTGCTTTGGCCCTCCTGAGTCTCAAGAAAAGAGAGGAAAGCTGGTGTTCTGATGTCACGGTAGTGCCGGGTAGGGTACAGGTCAGCTGGAAAAACTGACAGATACCTGAGAGAGAAAAAGAAACAGCCCTGCAAGGGAGGCAGTCTGTACTGGGCTCCGCACTCCTTTTAGCGTCTTCCTTCTCTCCCTAGGCCTTTCCGCCCCAGGCCACCCCAGCAGCCTACCACAGAAGGAGGGGATGGTGAGACCAAGCCCAGTCAAGGCCCCACTGATGGTTCCCGGCCTGAGCCCCAGCGCCCACGAAATCGCCCCTATTTCCAGCGGCGGAGGCAGCAGCCCCCTGGACCTAGGCAGCCCACAGCCCCTGAGGTGAGAACCTTGGAATATCAACCATGGGGAGGGGATGAGAGGGTAAGGCCAACTTCTCTTTCTCCCTCCTCTTCAACCTTTGCCCTTCCTTCTTACTCTGTTTCTTTTCTTCTCATTCACCTGGCCCTTCTCCCACCCTATCCCCTTCATGCAGCCTGACACCAAAGAGCCTGTGCTGCTGGGTCCACCCCTGTCAGGTAGCCCACCTACCAGGAAATCCCAGCAGAGGCCATCAAACCACATGACCCCCTTAAAACCCCCCTCTTCTCTGCTTGGGGACACTGCACCAGTTTATGGATGTGAACTGGGGAATCTGGTTGGGGAAGGAATGGAGAGAGAAAAAGCAGAAGGTTGAACTTGGGGGTTCTAAAGAACAAGAGTATCTCAATGGAGTATCCCTGTTCTCTCTAGTCGTCAGCCCCTATCAACAGTGGGGACCCCCCCACCACCATACTGGAGTGATTCCAACTCAAGGACACTCAGAGCCACCATCTGGTGAGTGGCTTGCAGGGGACAGGCCCAGAGCTGAGCCAAGCCGGTGGGGAGCTGGTTTGTGATAAGTTGCTAGTGATGATTTTCTTGTTTCTTTTTCTCTCTCAGGTATCTGCCAGTTTTTCCAGCTGACCTGTACCCTACCCGGCACTCCCTCTCCACTTTCCCATAATTCATGACATCAAAACACCAGCTTTCTTCCCTTTTCCTAGAGACTCAGGAGGGCCAAAGCAACAGCCTTTTGCTTTTTTCCTTCTCTCCCCTCCCAAGGGTTGAAGGAAGGGATCCATCCTTATTGTTCAGAGCCACCAACTCCTGCCCCTAAATCAGGCTGAGAAGGAAACAGCCAGCTCTTCCCTCCTCCTGGTGGTTTTTCTTTCCCACCCCAGTTTATTTTTTGTTTCCCCTCTATCCCGACCTCTGAAGCCATTTTATGAACTGTCATGTGCCACCTGAGCCTCCAGTAAAAACAAAAACAGGCTTTCCTGTTGTCTTGGTCTCTGCCTCTTTTCTGTTCAGAGAATTGCTGGCAAGTGGCTGGCGCTGGGGAGGAGGAGGTCAGCGGCATGCCGCAGGGTTCTGGTTGGACAGCTCCCAACAAGTGCTTTCTTCACCCTCACTCTCAGCTTGAGCTTCACTTTCCCAGCTGTAAAAGGGGGAGTCTCCCTTGCAAAATGAATGTTTTGTAAAGTGCCAAGAGCAGTGTCTGGCACTTGCAGCTGAAATTTATTGAGCATTCACTTTGAAGAAAAGCAATGGCTAAAACTAAGTAGGAACGTGAATGCAGCACCCAGATTCTCCAGCATCAGCTCTAGTTGGGGGGAAAGGAGAGTGACTCTCCCTGTCTCAGCCAGCCCATGAGTGTCTTCACAATAGGACACCATCTCACAGAGACTTTATAGACATATTTATATATATATATATATATATATACACATTTAGTAAAACAGACCTTCAAGTTCTTCCTGTCTCTTTTCAAACATATACAAAAATACCTGACAGCTTCTTCCACCCCAGTGTTTACAGGCAATTTTCCCTCTTTCCCTTAGCTGGGCAAAATCCTGTGGATATAATACCCTTTCAGAATGGGAGAGGGAGCAGAAAGAGCTAGGGACCCCTCAGTAGCCTTGGGAAGCAGTTGGGGTCGGGCTCATAGCCCTAAGTCTAGAAGTGGTAGCCTTCTCTTTCCCTCATCACATACGGGCATGTGTTTCCCCTTGCCCTGGAAGGTCCAGAGAGAGGAGAGGTTAGTGCTTAGGAGGGCATGTCCTTTGCCCTGGAGGGGTCAAGACAGAGCCCCCTTCACCCAGAGTCTGTGTAGCAAGAATTTAGTGAAATTGCCAGATAGTGAGAGGAGTCCAAGGTGGCAGGAAACGACTTCTGTCCTGCTTTTGGCTTCATTTCAGCCCACTAAAAAGTCAGTCTAAACCTCTCCTAGTTTGGATGGGAGTTGGGGAGCATTCTGGAACTGAGGCGAGTAGGGGTAGACTATGGAAGAAAGACAGGAGAGGGGAGAATGGCCCACCCTTATGGCCACAACACATAAATAATCCAAGAGTCACACACGGGGAATGAGGGGGTGCTCAGACCACCCTTCCCTTCAACTTCCCAATTCTATCAGGCAGTAGGTATTTTCTCTAGCCTGGAAATAATGGGGAAGAGAAGGTTAAAGTGCTGCAGAGGAAAGGAGGGGTCTTTGGGAGGTAGAGAATGTGGTCTCCCACCCAGGTCTGGCCCCTCAGTCATTCTCGTCTGGCCCTAAGTACTCAAGTTCCGTGCTGGGTTTCACCTCCTGCTCTAAAAGAGAGGGTGTCCGACGGAAGGCTGCTGAGATCTGGTCAAATGTCCGGCCTCGGGTCTCAGGTACTTTTAAGAAGGTGAAGATGAAGAAGCCAAGCAGGAGGACCGCAAAAAGAAGGAAGACGTAGGGACCCATAGCATCCTGGGACAGGTGGAGAAAAAGGTGTCGGCAAAGGGGAGGAAGGGGCATGAGCACTGCAGAAAGCGCATGACTCTTGGCAGGGCAACAGAGAAGACCAGCAATGAGAATTCACGAAAAAAGGGACTCCCTGTGCCCCGACTATCCTCTAGTTGGTTCTTTATCTTCTTTCCATCTTGCTACTCCACTGGGAGTATGGATTCCCAGCCATTTACAGTATTCGCATGCAGTTTGTCTTTGCATTTCTGGTCTAAGTAAGTTAGGCCACTAATTCATTTAGATGACACCTCAGTTACAATGCGGTCCAGTTCAGCTCCTTTCTGTCCTTTGATTTGAGTGGAGTAGGTAATCTTCAGGGCCCATGTGGTTTACCAAAGTGATCCCCAGGTGAATATTGTGTGGGTTGGGGGTTCCTGCCTGGAAAGCTAGTGGACTAGTTATGAATTGCCCTCCTCTGGTTTATGGTATGGAAAACTGGAATGGGGACAGAGGACCTACCGCAACATACTGGAAACCCATGCCAATGATGAAGTTGCACGTCCAGTTGGAGAAACCAGCCAGAGCCATGGCTGCCGGACGGGGGCCCTGGCTGAAAAGCTCCGCCACGATGAACCAGGGAATGGGGCCTGGACCAATCTCAAAGAATGCCACAAAGCCAAAGATGGCCACAATGGAGACGTAGCTCATGGCTGGAACCCGCTCCTGGGGGACAGACAGGAAGGAAATTCTGGTCAGGGCTTTCTGAACCTTCCTTTGCTCTCAAACCAAAGGACTGAATAAAATCTACTCCTCTCAGCTGCTCACAGTTGGGGTGGGGAGTAGGTGGCGCTGGACGAAGAGACCCTGCCATACTAGGTCAGAATAGGCTCTTGTGGTCCTACCTGGTGGCGCAAGGGGTTAAGTCACAGCACTGTGAAGCTATCTACTGCCACTGCAGCATGAGTTCCATCCCCACCAGGGAACTAACCTACATAGCTCGGCAGATCTCTCTTGTCTTGTCCTGCCCGCTGCTCCCCTTAGCAGTGTATTTCAGTGGATCCGCCTGTTCTGTGAGTCCACTCATAACCCCCCCACCTCTGGCCTGTACCCCAGTTCTTTATATGAATGATAAGTAAAATTAAAAAAAAAAAAAAGGCCCTTGAGGGGCCTCTCTAGTGCAAAGGGGTTAAAGACAGCACTATCAAGCTGTTGCCAGCCATTGTGGCATAAGCTTGATCTCTGGCTGACCAGGGAGCTGACCCACATGGCCCAGCAGACCTCTCCTGTCTTGCCTGCTGCTTCCCTCAGCAGTATATTTCAGTAGATTTACCTGTTCTGCCCCCCCACTCTGTCTCTGTTGAATCCTCTCACTCACCCACTGCCACCTCCCACCTCTGGTCTACACCCCAGTTCTAGTATGCGTGAATAAATAAATCTTTTTAGAAAGTAGTCTCTTGAGTATTTCTGAGCACTGACATCCAGTTATCTGCCCCATGCTAATTTAGTGTACAGGGAACATTATAGCCTCTCAGCTCTTAAGCTATTAAGTCATTTCCTCTTGGGTTCTAAAGCTGGATCTTTAGGAATTATTGTTCCTGAGGTTTGGTAATGGCTCTCCTTTCCAGCTGCTAAAGTTGAGCCACAGCTTCTTCCCAGAGCAGACCCTGGTATCTCAGCAGACCTGAGGTAGTCTGACTACCTCAGGAGCACAGATCATGGTCCTGGCACACCCAGAACCCAAGGCATGTCAATGAAGGAATGGCCCTGGCTAGCCACACAGCCTCTAGGGACAGTTCCCATGGATGGGGCCACTGGTCCTTCCTTCTCCTACTCCACAGGCCTCACCAGCAGAAGCAGAGCCACCGTCATCAAGATGGCACAGCCACACATTCCTGCCAAGCCTAGCAGATGAAGAGTCCGGCGCCCGGCCCGTTCTACCAAGAACACCTGTGGGGAGAGTTGAGGATTTAGGATGCAGAGCACAGAAAGTGGGAGGGATTGGGCAGGTGGGGAGGCAACCAAAAATAGACACCCTGGGATGTGAGGTCAATGGTGGGGGCCATTCCAGAAGCCAGGAGTTACCGAGGCCAAGGTGAAGACTGTGTTGACCACACCAGCTCCTATGGTAGCATAGGCTGGCTGCCCTACTCCCGCTGTCTCAAAGATGCTGGTTGAATAATAGAAAACCTACAAGTGAAGGAGAAGAAAAGGAGATGGCAGGTATGTCCCTCCCTCCCCAGGAGCCACATCAAGCTGAACTGACCAAGGGGTTCTAAGAGAGAGGCTTATTCCCTTCCCCCCTCCTCTTGGGCTGTTCCTTACCCCTGCCCTGCCCAGAGGTTGCTGCATACTTACGGCATTGATGCCTGAGAGCTGCTGACTCAGCTGCAGCACGATTGCAATGATTAGGGGCTGTCGATGGGTACGGCTGCCCAGCAGTTGGAGAAGGGACAGGGGACGCTCACGCTCCAGCTTGCGCTTCTCCTCCTTCAGCTCAGCTAGTGCTCCAGACACATCAGCCCAGCCTGTCAGGCGCTTCAGACCTGGAAGGGAGGAGGGTCGGACCTGAGCAGGCAGGAAGGCATCTGAAGGGCTGGTACTAGCAAAGGTAGGTGGAAGCTCACTTTTTCTGGCAGGTCCCTCCAGGTTTCGGATAATGTAGAGGTAGCGGGGGCTTTCTGGACAGAAGGGCAACAGGATCAGCTGCAAGAGGGCAGGCAGCACTGTGATGCCCAGGAGTAGTGGCCATAGGGTGGCAGTGCCCAGCAGGGACTCCAAGCCCAGCACCTGTAGGAGCAAGGCAGCAAGGAAGGCAGGCCATTCAGCCTGTTCCCCAGAGACCCACCCAACCCCCTACAGAGATCCCTTGAGGCCAGGCCCAGTCACCTGGGCAATCAGAATGCCTATGACGATGGCCAGTTGGTTGAGTGTCCCCAAGGCACCCCGCAGATGAGTGGGGGCGATCTCCCCCACGTACATGGGCACCAGCCCCGATGTCAGCCCTGGGCAGAGGGAAGAGAAGAGTGCTGAGGACAGCTGCCCACTCTTGCCCCCAAGCCCAGTGATGGTGAAGGAGAATAGGACCCTGGGCAAAGCCAGTGCTGGTGGTTACCTGAGTAGGCGCCAATGAGGAACCGTCCAAGAATGAGCATCTCATAGGAAGAAGCGGCATTGGCCAAGCCCATAAGGGTGCCCCCCAGCACTGCCAGGATGTTGTTGACCATCATAGCCCTCTTCCTGGAAGGCAGTGGATAAGACTGAGAGTTAGGACCCACTCGGCTGTGGTTCACTTCCTGTTCTCCCACCCCTCCCCTCCAGTCCCATACCTTCCCAGCCACTGAGAGATGATGCCAATGAGGAAGGAGGAGATCATGCCGCCCACAGAAAAGATGGCCACGGAGAGAGCCCAGAGGGTGGTGAGGGTACTGGGTGGGATGGAGCCAGGTCCCTCAGGCCCCTGCCTCCCCAGCCACGTCTCGTTGTAGCTCTGTTCAATCACCTGGGGGACAGCATAAGTTGATTTCCTACAGATCTTCTCTCTCTGTTCACCCGATGTCCCCTGCCCTCCTTGTTTGGGTACCCCCACTGTGCCAGCTGCAGGCCCCTCACCTTCTGTGGGGCATTGATAACCCCAATGTTGTAGCCAAACTGCAGGGAGCCAAGCACTGCAGAAAATACAGCAAGGACCAGGGTCCCTGTGACTCGCTGCTGAGGGGGTTCCCCATCCTGGGCAGGCAGAAGCAGAGAAGAGGCATGTCACATGAGAATGATGTGGTTTCTTTCCTTCGTCAAGGGCCCTGGCCCAGCTGGAGTTTTAAGATGCTGGGTTCCATCCAACATGATGAGTGAGGAAAACTGGGCCATATTAGGGAATAGCTCAGGGATCTCAATGTAAACAGGAGCAGGAAGAATCCAACCGTAACCCACAGGCTGGCTGAGGTCTCATGACTCCTCTGTGACCTTGGGACAAGTTTGGCTTTAAGAGACCTAAGTTCAGATTGGTGTGACCTTGGGCAAGTCACTTCCCCACTCTGAACCTAGATTTCCTCTTTTGTGAGATAGGGGGTTTAGTACCAGCTTTGCCTGACATTGAAAGTGTAAAAATCAAAGCCAAATGTTAACAGTATCTCTGACAGTGCTGGCTTTATAAAATCACAAGTGCATGATCATCATCAGTCTCCATCCCCTTCCCTCCCCTCTAGGGGTTCTTTCAGCGGGCTCCTGGAGGCCCCCCATAGGCTCAAGAAGGGCAATTCCAAAAAGGACATATCGGTCATTCCTCTTGGCCTGTGGCCCTTGGGGTGGCCTTCTCTGTCTCCACCCTGGCTTGCACTCCCCTCCCCTCCCCTTATAAGCTAGGAGGAAGGCTGAGGGGGCTGTACAGGGTTTTGCCTGGAAGAATCATGCCCAGGGGATGGGGGCGGGAAGGTGGTGTGAGGGGCGGTGGCAGTGATGGCCTCTCCCTGGCGGCACAGACTGTCTCCAAGCGGAAACCTGAGCTGGAGGTGGGTGACACTCCCCTCTGCCCCTCCACCCGCCATAGGGCCAAAGGAAAGTTCAGCGTCCTGGAGGGTGGCCAGGAATGGGGGTGGTGGCCCACGGAGAGCCTCCTGTCCTCGAAAAACTGCCCTAGGGCCTGGACAGACTGACAGGTCTTGGAGAGCAAGACCCGCCTGAATCTGCTTTCTTAACTTGGATAGAGGGCAGGTGTCCTCGATCTCGGAGCAACGCGCCGCGCCGTGTACTAGAGAAAGGGCTAACCCCAGACTCGAAGAATACAATGTGGCCCGTGCCCCCGAAGCGACCCCCCAGACCCACTTTGCCTTGGCGGGACTGGAATCCGACAGTCACGGGTTGTACAACCCAGGTATAAATAGCCAACCCCTACCGCCTCCCCCTGCGCCTGCGCAGGGACCGCCCCCTAGCTGACCCCAAGCGCGACCCCTGCCCGACCAAAGCCAGATCCGTGCCCCCGTTGTGCCCCAAGCTGAACCCTACTTCTGAGCCGATCTGTTGGAAGCCCGACGGCATCTTGTCTTAGAAGCTGCTGTAGACCAGAGATGGCGATGAGGGTCTGCGGCCCGGGCTGGAGGGCAGAGGGCGCGGGGGCGACGGGGGTCCCGGTGCGATGTGCGGAGGGCGGTCCTGGCGGGATCCACAGCCTAAAGCCAAAGAGCCGGAGAGCAGCAGGGATCCCGGGAATCTGGCAGAGCCCGGCTAGGGGGAAAAGACCCGAAGAGCCCCCACTGAACCCCCGCCCCCACGGGCCACGCCCTTCACAACACCCATTGGCCAGAAGCCCGCACACCCCAGAAGGCCACGCCCCCGCCCTAAGCCGGAGTCTGGCACAAGTGGCAGGAGGTCACGCCCCCTCGGCATGCCAGGAGGGACACGCCCCTCGGATTCACGCCCGTCGCGTGTGATTGCTCCGCCCCCCAAAGTTTTGGGCTGAAGAGGCGATACAAAGTCTAGCGCCGCTGGTCGCGACTCCGGGTTCCGGGAGAAAGGGATAGCCTGGGAAAGAACGGGGCGACGTGGGACTGCGAGGGAGCCGATGCGCGGGTGCGTGAGGAATAGTGGCCTGAAGTAACCCGGAGAGGTTATTTTTAGTTCCCACGTCGGGAGACGCCAAATGTCAGGTCCCGAGTGTCCTGGCCCGTCCGGCGCGGAGGAGGGGAGGGATGATGGAGCCTTAAAGGGTCCGCAGCACGTTTCCCACGAGGGGGGTCACCCGGGGGACCGACCCTCTAGGAATTCCTTTCCTGACAGGTCGGGTGTCTGGGCGCGGTGGGCTTCTTCCCATGCATTCCTGCTCTGGCTCTGCTTACTTGGCTCATCCCCACACTTGTCCGCCAGGTTCGTTGGTTTCTGGAGGCGACCCGAGGGGACGGGTGGTCACACCTACTCCGTCAACCGCCCGAGGACCCTCAGCCACGACGCGTGTGCTGGCGGCGTGAAACGACGTGGACACGCTCTCTGGAGGCCGCTCCGGGTTTGAGTCTCCAGCTACATCCTACCCAGCAAGGAGGGAGCCAAGGCAGAGCCCGCGCGTCCGGAGCGTGACGCCGCGGGCTCCGAGAGGGAAACTCGAAGGGCGAACTGAGAGCGCGCGGCTGATGGGCGCCTCCGCACCGTGGAGCTGTAGTGACCCCTGGTGGTGGAGCCGACACCGGCCGGGTTTTCTCCGGCCCCTCGCTTTGCCACGCTACAATACCTCTCCTAGGCTTGGTTATGTCCAACCCAGACCCCTTTCTGGAGTTCCGGAACAGTCCAGCCACTGTTCGGATTGAGTAGCTAACGTGATCAACCACGCCCAAATCCGCGCCTCCTGACCTCCTCACTCCACTGAATGGGCCCATACTGTCACGCCCTCAGAATCCTGGAAGTCATGCTTTAGTCCTTCTGTCCTACCTTGCCCAGTTAGTTACCAACTTTGGTGTTTTGGCCACCTAAACTCCCCAGTTCATCTCCACATGTCCTGCTATCACTTTGATGGAAACAGCCATCACCCTGACAGGTCTTTCCTTACATGGACGGGAGATAATAGATTCGAAATTCAACCACATCATTCCTGCCCCCAGTCTCTGGCTCTTTGTTACCCCCACTGTCAAGTTCAAACTCATCTTCAGAGGGAACAAAACATCCTGCCTTCCCCTTCCTGTCTTTGCCTCACATGATTCTATATTTTTAAAAAATATCTATTTTTTAATAATAATGAACTATATACTAGAGACATTTTACGGAGGTGGAGTGGGGAATGGGATCAAAAATGTGGGGGGAGGGAAGTGCACTGGACGATGGTGATGGCACACGGGTGATTTGGTGATGGGAAGCCCACGGGATTACAACTGAGATGGGAAAAGGCACAAAATGATGTAAAAATAAACGATTATAAAAATGTGTTACTTATTCATATTTTGTAAATCTATTTTTTACATTAAAATATTTATTTTTGGGCCCTCCCTGGTGGCGCAGTGGGTTAAAGGACAGCATTGAGAAGCTAAAGCCACCTCCGCATGAGTTCGATTCCGGCCTGCCCCAAAGGTGACCACATGGCGCGGCAGACCTCTCCTGACCCGCCGGCTGCTCCCCTCAGCAGTGTACTTCATTGAT